TTAATCAGTCTGATCATTGTCGTATTTTCTCATCATTTAGAAGGGGAAAAAATAGCAGTTTATGCTGGACAAAAAAGTTTTTTTTTTTTTGTCTTTGCCATTGAAGAAATTCATGTTAATTATTCTTCTGCACCTGCCTAATGGGACTGAAGTAATTCAATTGTCATATTGTTGTAGATTGTTGCTTTGCGTAATGTATCACCCCTGCTGTTTTACTTAAAAAAAATTCTATACTCCTCCGTTATTCAGCAAGGCCTCATGATTATTCCAGCATTTGTACATGCTGCACTGTTGTTTTGATTTTAATTGACTTCACTTTTTTTTTTAATTAAGTACATTGCTTTTAACACTGTTGTTGACATGCATGGTTTTGTCTTTATCAGTATTTGCTACAATTTGCATTCTATATCTATTGACATTTTATTTATCTCCATTCTAGAGGAGCAGATAGACATTTTGCAAAATTTATCATCTCATTTAACATATGATGCATAATATATTTATCAAATGGCCTGAAAATATTGAAAATATTCTGAAAATATCAGCTTAAAGTATATACTACTTTTAACAGTGTTTTAAGTATTATGTTTTTAACAGAAATTTTCTTAATTGCAAGAAGGGGCCCATTTATGTTTTATGCAAGTCAGTCATGCTATTTTTCATTTTGAATCCACCTTGAGAGTTCAAAAATGTATTTTAAAAGTTCTTTTGAGTTTCTTTTACTTTATAGCTCAAGGAAAAGAAAAAGAAAAAAGAAAAAGCTGTGTGATTAAAAGACATTATTGTAAATACACACTGAGTATCTGAAACCAGATCAGCATCCCTAAATTCCTAAAATGAAACACATTTAGATTTCCAAAGGATATTTTTTTTCTAAACCTCAAAGAACTTTTTTGTTAGTTCCTTGCAAATCATTCCTGCACCCTTTAAAATACCACAGTCAACTGATCTTTCCTTTATAAGCTCAGCATTAAACAGAACCTTCCCGTAGATGTGTGCAGCTCTTCTGCCCACCCCATCTAGAAAGCACATTTCATCATTTATCACAGCATAGGGCAATAAAAATTGGATCAGTGACAAAATAATTTCTAGATAAGATTATTTAAACAAAAGTGGTAGGCATTGCTCAATGCAAATTTAAAAGTGAATCAGTACACAAGGACCCCGTTGCACTATTTTTACAGGTTTTGAATCCAAACCTGGCTGAATCCAGCTTACATACATATTTTAGTGAGGAATTTTGTGCAGATGCTGCCATTTCTGTTTTGTCAGTGGATATTGTATCAGACATGCCAGAGAGAGGAGCAATTCCCATATTCTTTCCTTCTTTCTGTAAACCTATTGGTCCAACACTGCCTGTCAATGAAACACAGAAACTCTCTTGTCAAGCTGTGTTCAAATGCCCTGTTCCATGGTATGTCTGCCTGAATTCTGTTTGCAGAGTTTTCAGTCTAGAGATTGTACGATTGAAAGATAATTCAAAAAAAATACTTCCTTAATAGTGATGCAAAATGCCAATTTCTGTGAGTTCACATTAGGCTGTACAGTAGTGACCATGAGAAGCAAAAGCAAAAGAGAAAGGAAGAATTTCCACATAGGACAAAACACAAAGCCCTCCATTAAGTTAAATGTATCAGCCAGGATTTCCACGCAGCTTAGCTCCTCCTTGTTTATGTGCATTCATCATGGTATTTCATACATGAGAGGAGCTTATTGACTCCAAGCACTACAAGCCATAACTCAATTCTTTCATGTGCAAGATTAGAGCCCTCTCTCCACACACAGATGTTCCACTTTTTAGGAGTCCTTCTCATAAAATGTTTGAGTTTTAAGCCTTCAAGGGGTAATTCTCACCTTTCTGCACCTCAAAAAGACTGAAAAATATTTATTAAAAAAAGGTTTACAAAAGCTCAGATTCTTTTCAATCAGATTTGCAGAATCTGGTGTTTTATGAGAAAGGCTACAATCCATGTGACTAGTGACAAAAATTGCATGTCTTGGTGCAGAGTGATCACAAACACGGAGGCTTTTTAGACATAATTTTAGATGTACCTGCAGGACAATATATCTCTGAAATTTGATTCACATGCAGGTGGGACAATGATTGAAATGAACCATTTTACATATATTTCAAAAATGGACCAATGCACAATTTAAACCACCGAAGTACTGAGGCATTTATTATGCAGCAGACAGAGCCAGTAAGACAAAAAATAAATCTCCATTGTGAATGATCATTAACTGGCCAATCAAAATCAGCTTTTCTCAGCAAAGACATTAATATCTAGCTGGGGAATTTAGGGGGGAATTGGTGTGTATGTAAAGAAGGCATAGCAAGGAGAATGGAAAAGGAACTGAACTGGTCTAGAGATACAGGGGAAAATCTCAGGATCTGGTGCTAAGAGAATTTGTGAGAGACTTTGGATAACTTGAGTGAAGCAGAGGCACACATTTTTGTAGAATTCAAGAAAGGAGAGGAACGATTTGCTTTCACTGTATGTACAGAGGAGTTTAAGCTGTCTTTGGTCCTCCATGTCAAGATAAAACCAGAGAATCCTCTACGGGAATATAATATATACTATTTTCCTCCCTCCATTTTTTCTTCAGAGAGTCAAAATTTCGGTGCCTGCACAGGCTCATTTCCCCCTGCCATTGCAGGACGGAGCTTTGCAGCCGCTGCTGTGCATTTTGCTCCATCGTCACTGTGCAAGTGTTAGGGAAGCTTTGTGCTTTGATTTACTGTTCCTCCTGGGGCAGGGTGGGCATTGTAGCAAGGCATTGGTTTCCTTAGGCTAAGGAACACGAAACGGATCATCAAGTATTGGCCTGCAAATCTACACACCCAACGAGACTTTTAAAAAACATTTAAGCAAGCAATGTTTGCAAAGGCAGTAAGAGCAGGACTCAAACATCCTCCCTGAAAGTCTGTTCCCGCAACAACAAATCACAGCAGGCAAATGAAGAGACAGAGTGTGCTGTCAGTTATCCAGGTAGTTGCACTGATCATATAGTATTTCTGGAACATTTCTTCTCATTCCTGATCCAGTGACTTGACAGGGCTATTGCATTTTAGTTCTGCTGTCAGGATTTCGTGTGCTGAAGATTAGGTGTGGAGACTCGGGGACTATCTAGGAGAGGAGCTGCAGCAGCACCAGGGACCTGCGCTGGCCGGCAGCGCCAGGAAGAGGGTTCAGTGCAGACAATATCCCGGGTTAGGGCGCAGGTCCTACTGCCGGGCTCCTGCAACGCCTGCTTACAACACCAGCTGTGCGGCAGGAACATGTCCGGGTTTGGGCATCTTGCTCCTCTGTGGCAAACCTTGGGAAACCTCTCCAAAATCTGCCTCCTGTCCAGTGCGATGCAGCCCCTGGCAGTGCCTGCTGCCGTGCTCTGCATGCAGGGCCGAGCAGGCAGACAGCGGCACTGAGGGATTTTTTTTAAAATCCATTTTAACGAGTATCTTCCCATTCCCGCGTTTCCAAAGCACTGCCATTCTGCCCCAGATGTTCCCCTTCCCTCCCCTCCTTCCCCTGGTAGCGGGGGGCTTAGTTCCTTGCAAATCATTCCTGTACACAGTCAACCGATCTTTCCTTTGTAAGCTCAGCATTAAACAGAATCTTCCCGTAGGCAGGTCCCTCTGGGGCTCACTCATTTTGCTCAAAATGCTAGTGAATTTGGGAACCAAATTCAGTAGTCTTCAGTAGTGAAATTCCAGGTGACTTGTGCCTGAAATACTAATTCAGCGGCAATAAGTCTGGATCATGGTTATTTATCCAGATGGACCTGCCAGGAAAGCACAGCAGCAATTCAACAGAACCAGATCATAGGAAAAGTTTAGTACCTCAGTAACAAACAAACAAACAACAAAAAAGAAGCATTAAAAAAAAAGAGAAAAGAAAAATCATTCCTGTTCCTGGAGGTGATTCTGCTGGATTCGCAGAGAGCATTCAACAAATGCAAAATAGCAGAGTTTTAATCCTGCTTGAAGTTTAAATTACAGCACAAACTTTACTATGGAATTGCTCTTGATATCTGGATAATTATATCCTGTCTGTGTTTCTCTTTCTCATATTTTTATACGTTGATAACTTTCTACTGTTTTGTTGTAACCTCATCATTTTCCTGGAGTTTTATTATTTATAATTTATAATATTTTTATTTCATTGAAAAAAATATTATACTATTATGTGCTGGACTGAGTCATATTTTTAAGCTTCAGCAATTTTCAGTGCTTACAATTAATTAAACACAATGTATTCAAGTAGACAAATTCCAAATAGTACCGAATGATCTTTTAATGTTAACTCTGTATTTTATAGACTTACTTTCTTTGTATGCACTTTAAATATTTTATTGTTTTCTTTTATTGCTGCTTTTATGCGACTTCAGAACGATAGATTACTTGGCCCATAGTCTTATAAATTAGATCAGCATACTATTGCTATAAATATTGCAAGTAAATACTGTTATCTCTGTTAATATAAATAGATCAGCACTTCATTTATAGTTTACAATTCTATTACCATCCATTAGACTTTTAGACATGGAAAATTTTATCTCAGAACCATTTGTTCATCTATTCAACTAAAAAAAAATCCTACAAACATTATGCCATGTTCTCCTACACTGCATTTAAACAAATAGGTTTTATTTTTTCAAAGGACTATTTGCTATTCCATTTTCAGATATTTCTCTAAACATTAAGTATTTTATTATCTTTTAAAATTTCCCAAATCCTTCATACTTCCTACTTTCCTATTGCCTGCTCTAAAATTTACCCAGCATTAATTTTAAACAACAGTAAACGCAATCTGTTTCCTTTATGCAAAGTCAATTTATAATTTTCTTTAAGGCTGAATCACTCTCTAAAAGGATCTGGCCAGCAGAGATTAATTTTCAAGGGGGCCACACAGCAAGATTTTAGGGATATCGGTCCTCATTGCCAAAGGCAGATTTTCTAGAAACCTCACACAATATTTAGGCGCTTTATTAGTTGGCAGATTTTCCAAAGTGCTCTGTAGCAGTCACCTCCCCTATTTATAAAACAGTTAGCCATAATGTACATTATGCTCTGTTATCATACAGGGCTACCTTGTGTCATGAGCTCATTGGGAAAAAAATGGCCATTTATTTTGTTCTCTAATGGAGAAGAGAGCTCCTTAGCAAACTCTGCTTGCCTCTGTAGCGTGGCTTCTCCTTTCGTGGGGTCTGCTAGGTCACAGTCGCATGTTTGTTTTCTCCATCCAGTGGGTAATTTGGTTTTTAATAATGTTTTTGACCCCATTTGCAGATTGCGTGCCATAACTAGGAAGGGATGGGCCCTGCAGTAAGTAATTAAGTCTGCAGGAGCAGGGCTGCTTATTTTTCATTGCAGCAGATAATCAGAATGCTGCTGCTCAAGTGTAAAATGCAGAAATTAATGATCCTATATAATACAGATTAAAGCTTTCATTTTAAAAACTATCAGTGCAGAAGAACAAAAGTAGGGAGCCCTGCACCCACTTTGGAATTTCAATGTATGGTATCTCTAACATATTTGGAGAAGCTGCCTGAATGCAAACCAGAACCAAATTCAATCATGTAATAGTTTAAATAAACGATCAGATCAGAACTCTAAATATGTAACCACCCTCACTGCTACTTTGAAAGAGGCATTGTTGAATATACACATTCTCCAGTTGATTTTGTAATTTCCAAGTTTTTATGGGTTTAATAAAGCAGAAAGATCATTTTCCATAAGTAGAATAAAATCGTGTGCTACCAAGAACAAAGCACAAATATAACATTTTAAACTCCTTTTAAGGAATGGCTTCAGTGAAAAAGAGGAATATTTTTTCTAAAAGAGTAAAATGTCACTCTGGATCTCACCAAACTTCTCACTTATGTTTCCAGGCATCTAACTGAACTATATTAACACAAAATTAAATATGTCATTACTGCACTGCAGTAAGTAGACTTGCTCTCAGAGAGGGTTGGGAACCTATTTTACTAAGTGCAGTACAAGAGGAAAGCAGGGGAACATAGCATAAAAAGTAGTCATATGGATAATAACATCACACCATATTTCTATGCATTCAGGAGCGAGGGCAGATGCTAACAAAAACTGTTAAAGAGGGAGGCTGGATAAAAGCATGTGATAAACATACACTATAGGAGATAATTCAGAAATAGGAAAATAGTCATTTCTGGAGATTTTTTCCAAAATTAAGAAAAATAGAGAATTAAAAAAAAATCTATACCAGAGGGAAAATATGCTCAAATTAATAAACCATTCAATCAGTGTCATTGAAGTCCTGTAGCACCTCCACAATTTAGGGAGTTGTCAGAAGAAAGAGAGATTATTTTCCTGTTTCTTATACCCTGTTCAAACAGGGAGGTCTTTTTTCTAGGTATCAAATTTTCAGGCTCTCTGTCACTCCTCTGACTAGACTGGCTTGGACGCTGTTTTCTTCTACAAAGCTATTATCTTTTTGTTTTACAAAAATATGTGACATCATCCACTTTACAAAATTTGCTTTATAAATCTTTAGTTCTACTGCCCTGACCCAAACGTAGCTGAATTTGATCCTGCTGAGTCCATACAGAACTCATCACAGGGACTGGCCTAGTGGGAATCTCCCCGCTGCATCAAGAGACACTTAGATGAGAATTGTTTTCCCTGTAGCAATCTCTTACTTTTGTCTAGAAAATGACTTATAGAAGAACAAGAGGACGAGAAAACCTTAAATATAAAAGTGTTTTGAAATGACAACCTATCCTTTTGCCATGTAACAATCTCTCATCCATAATAACAGTACACATCTTTTTCTTTTCCACCAGAATGACTACATTTACCTTGCCATTAATAATTCACTACATAATCACTGTGGATTTGAGGATGAGAGGATGAACCCTACCAAGAGAAGAATCTGACACCTACAGTCATGTACTTTCTTCTCACCAGTGGCCCTTATAAATGACATTTCGTGCTATTTTGCTATATACACAAAGAAGAAAAACTTCCAAAAAATATCAAAGAAGTAATTTGTACTCGCTTCCAGTATGATTCAATATGTACTTTGGCCAGTTATTTCTGCCAGAACTTGAGCAATCTCCTCCTCCTTGAGAATCTACAAATCCCTAACAACAAATTCTGCTGCAGATGATCAGATGAGTAACATTCAGATGAGGACTAAATACGGAAGCAAGGTAGAGAGATACTTTTTTTTATTAACTTTAACCTTCATGTCCCTGATTTGTTGACAATCATTTTGTTTTGCAGAGGTAGTTGGTGACAAAACTGGCAGAAAGTGATTTCTCACACGGACTTTCTTCCCTGCTCCCCACCATGCCCTGCTCATTCTGTTGCAGTGAAGTTTGAAATTTGTTTTGTCCTGAGTTATACTGTTTAAGTACAATGCTGAACTTAAGCAGAACCACTTAAACACGTATCTAATGGTATTTCTTGCTCACAGAGAACCATTCTGCTTCCCCAGTACTCACCGCGGGACTCAGGATAAGAATGTGCATCTCTTGCACTCTTCCCGTATCCATTTTAGTATCCCTGAAAGGTCAAGGCATTAGTCTTGGCTTATGCATCAAAATACTGAGAGTTTCATTACACTTATTTGGTTTAACGTGAGCTCATGATTTTGTAGTGATGAACTTGGTAGCAATAGAGCACCAGTACCATACTCCTCAATTTTCCCTTTAGCAGCAACGCTACGGCAGGCTTTGCTTTGAGCAGCATGATCGATTCAAGGGATTTGAGTGCAGGGGTCTGCAGGTCAGATCGGATTGCTGAAATTCCAGAGTGTTGAGATGTCAGAAAAACTGCAAACCACACTTTGAACGTTATTAATGTACTCACCCTGAACATCGGGCAATCAGAAATGTACAGCTATTGGAAATACAGTCTGAAATGACTATTTCTTTAACGGAGTCTGGTTAAAAAAAAAAAAAAGTGGAGTTTTAAAACAGGCTATAAATACAACATTTGATACAGAACACTTTGAGCCCCATTCAGTTCTGGTTCAAATCCACCATGTTACAGAAAAGGCTGCATTACTTTTTCCATCAGCCAGAAAGAGAACAACACAAAGAGTAACACAGAGAGTCCTGCAGCATCTCCAGCTCTCTGACCCGGGCTGTCACACATAGGTTCAGCCCTGAGCAGGGACTGTATCATCTGCCTCAGACAGCTTAAACAAGCTAAACAAAGAACCATCTACCTTATACAGAGGACTGCTCCAAGATATCTGGAAGACCCAGGATCCACTGCTTCCCATGTATGCCAGGCCAGCCTCAGAGATCATCCAGAAAGTGGCAGAGCTTGAAAATCCGAGCTTCTCTAGTTTGTTAGTTCATGCTGTATACACTGGTGTAGGAGAGGAGGAACCGCTTCTTGTGGAAAGTTCAAGATCAACGGCTTGGAGGAGAAAGTACAGGTCTGGGGAAAAGAAGGAGAGGGAAGAAACCGGGATTCACACAAATAAGTCAGTGGGCAAGGGAGAAAATTGTGGGTTTGAAGAAGGGGAAGAGAAAACCACCATATGTCTCTGAATCACTGCCAGAAGTACCTGCATCCTTACCAATCCCTAGACCTTCTCATGGCATTAACATGCCCTTTCCATGTAGGTCTCCTTCTCACTTCTTAGGGGGGCTAATAGTGTACCTGTGTGTGAAAGGACACGCACATTTTGCACAGTGTTTTTAATACCTCTGTTTGGTAATTAGGACAGCACAGGTGAGCACTGTAAAAACAGAGACTCCTGCCAGCTTTGCTTGCCCTTCCCATATGGGAAGGTGTTCTGTTTTCAGAGGCAGGCTGCTCTCTGCTTCGTTACCCCTGGAGCTCATAGGAATAGACACCGCCTTCCCAAAGCTTCTGAAACTTATCTTTTCAGGAGATTCCAAAAGCGGCCTCCTCAGGTGGCTCGCATGATTAAAACGAGGGGAAAAAAAAAATGGAGGGATTAAAGATGATACAGGTAAAGCTTAGACCGGAAAATCCCAGTGTTCCCATCCAAACTTTCTGCCTGGGACCAAAATCACATGGAGCCCACTATTTCTGACAGAAATCTGAAACCGCAGACAGCACCCCCAGAGCAAGAGCACCCATCCACCCTGTCGCTGGAGGTGCGACCCGGGGGCCTCCTGAGCGACCCCCTAAGGCCCTGCAGGGCACATGCTACCAGAGCCAGGGACATGAGGAGCCCCAGAGTTCTAGATATACGTGATAGCCACGGGGGAAAACTGCACAACTGGAACCTTAGATTTTCATTGTTAGGTATCTCCTTACTCCATACGGTGGTTTGCTTTTCCAAAGAATATTTTCTTTCTGATATCACCCTGGAATCTCTGTGTAAAGGATTATCAGAGCCTGATTTATGCCTTTATTCTGACTGCCAACACACTACCAAAAATCTAGCAGTTTCTTATATTCAGTGTCATCAAGCACAACAGCAGCTGGCTCCCACTAAGCACAATGTGCTCAGTGCTCTATCTGCAGATAACTCCACACATGCTGGATTCTTTATTTTAAAGGACAGATTTATCTCTGTGTGTGTGAGACAGAGACAGTGAAAGAAAATACCAGAATATCTCTTTTGTTCTTCTCTTCCTTTATTATCTTTCAGTACTTTCAAAATAATTTATTCACGTTTAATTTTTTTTCCAGTTTCTCCACTGACTAAAATTAAGTTCTCATTAGATTCATGAAATGGTGGTTATGTGATTTATATTTTCTACATACACAGAGAGACTGGCAAATCAACCTCATTCAAATGTACTTGAAAACTTAGGCTAAATAGTTTGTTTCTTTTTATTGTTATTTTTCCTAAGGATCACTCTGTTTTAAAATCTCATCATATTTTTATACAGTGAAAAAAAAAAAAAAAAGAGTAAAACCAGGTTTTGAGTTAACACATGTCAGGATATCATCTTCAAAAGGAAAAGAAAAGCCTATTCATAGAGCTAACAACCTGGCACAATCATTCTTAAGGTGAACGCTCCGAGACACCCTCCACTCTTTG